GTGGTGGAGGTGACGGTGGTGGAGGCGGTGGGAGCGGAGGATGACGTGGCTGGGATGTAGGGGATGGGGATGGTGGGAGAGGTAGGGGAGGAGGAGGCGGTGGTGGTGGTGGTGGAAACGACGGCGGCGGTGGCGGTGGCAGTGGAGGAGATGGCGGTGGTGGAGGCGGCGGTAGAGGAGGATGATGTGGCTGGGATGTAGGTGATGGGGATGGTGGGAGAGGTAGGGGAGGAGGAGGCGGTGGTGGTGGTGGTGGGAACGACGGCGGCGGTGGCGGTGGTGGTGGAGGAGGTGGCGGTGGTGGAGGCGGTGGGAGAGGAGGATGATGTGGCTGGGATGTAGGTGATGGGGATGGTGGGAGAGGTAGGGGAGGAGGAGGCGGTGGTGGTGGTGGTGGGAACGACGGCGGCGGTGGCGGTGGTGGTGGAGGAGGTGGCGGTGGTGGAGGCGGTGGGAGAGGAGGATGATGTGGCTGGGATGTAGGTGATGGGGATGGTGGGAGAGGTAGGGGAGGAGGAGGCGGTGGTGGTGGTGGTGGGAACGACGGCGGCGGTGGCGGTGGTAGTGGAGGAGGTGGCGGTTGTGGAGGTGGTGCTAGAGATGGATGACGTGGCTGGGATGGAGGGGTTGGGGTATGTGGATGCGTCTCGGGAGGCGATGTCGTCGTAGGTAAAGGTAGTGCCAAGAAACTTGGTTTAAGTGGTGTTTGAGGCAGTGCTAGGTTCGGGGCTAGATTCTCTGTTGGCATGGCGGTTTGGGAAAATGGGGGTTCCTGTTGAATTGCTGTCAGCTGTTCTGCGGACATTGAAGAACTCTCTGGAGTTAGAAGGGCAACATTCCACATTGATGGGCTAACAGAGGATCGAACTGACTGGCGGCAGGGTGGCGGTGCATCTGGCGGAGGCGGAGGGGTGGAACCAAGCTGTGGTTGGGCAGCCGGGGGGGGTGGCCACGGGGGCGGGGGCGGTAACGAAGTTTCCTGCGGCGGCGACGGCGACTGCGACTTCTGCAAGGTGACTGATAGTGGTGGGTTGTAGGGGGATGTGGAAATTGGAAGTGGAGGTTGTGGGCGTGGGGGATGTGCTGGAGCTGGAGAAGACGGCAGCCAGTGGAGCAGGGACGCAGGTTGTGATGAATTATTCACGGGAGAGGAGGGTATGCAGGGGGTAGTTCTTTTGCATGTGTCTTCATCCTGGAGGTGGGGGGGCTGTGGCTCGCTTCCTTGCTCGTCACAGAGGCGTCCAGGGCGGGGCCGGGGCGCTGTGGAGCCCGTATCAACAACTGACTGATATTTGATGTCGTTGTCGCAGTTCTCGGCGGACAGTGTAGTCCTCGTGCTGCACAGAACTGCACATATGCACATCACATAATTATGTGCTTCCGTATACCCGCTGCAGCAAACGGCCAACTTTCCGCTGCCGCAGCAACGTGCTTCTAACACAGCTATGTAGCTGAGGTACCCAGCTAGGACCACCCCTACCCGCATACCTACACCCCCCACCTCACTACCCCAGGTGGGCATCCATACATCCATGCATCCATGCATCCATGCATCCATGCATCCATGCATCCATGCATCCATTCCATGCATCCATGCAGACAGACAGACAGGCAGATAGATAAATGGCGGGACAGACAGACAGACAGACAGATGGCGGGACAGAGATCTCGCTTCGGGTTCCCATACCCGTACCCCTTCGACGAAAGGCATGTGCCCCTGTGACACCTGAACTGTCCGTTTGTAAGCTGTCCACCATGTATATATGGCCCATGACGCACCTGTAGCCTGGCACTTCTGGTCCGGTCCAGTGGATACGGGACAGGCCTGCGCTACGTGTACCGCTACATGTAGCCCCACCCAATTGACTGGCCCTGTGAAGTAGCTCCGCCACCTGATGCTGTTGACGAGGCTGCTGCTGTGAGGATGGAGAGAGAAAGAGAGAGACGATCTCAAACCCGTATGCAGTTGCTTGCTTTATTGGCTGCCCACGGCTTCCACAATACTGTAGACACCCACACACCGGGAGCAACAAAGGGAACCAACCAAGAAGAAGAAGACACTCCCAGCCCGAGTGTCTGCTAACGTCCAGTGGTTGGTTTTGATGGTCTGAGACCGTATTTGAAATGCTGTGCGTGGCCAATCACCGAGCATCTTACAAGTACGGTACTAGAAGCTGCTGAATCGTGCAGCAGGTCAGTCTTCAGTCTGACGTATACGATATTGCATTTGTGTGCACGTATGTATGTCGGGGAACGGGTATGTCCATACGCGTGCATGTAAGTATGTAAGCCTTGCCCTTGCCGCCCTGCCCTTGCCCCTGCCTTTGCCCCCCTGCCCTTGCCCCTGCCTTTGCCCCCCTGCCCTTGAACCCTTGCCCTTGAACCCTTGCCCTTGACTTGCAGGGTTTATGCGCACCCGTCTTCTAGTGATATGCACAGAATGCACATAGCCGGTTGCTGGGGGCCCGGATGGGTACGACCACGACCCTCACGTGAATCACGCTTACCAGCGTGCGTGCCCCTGCTGCCACCTTGGCTATTTATAAATCAAGCAAGGCCACGAGAGCGCGAAGAAGTATTGTGGCTGCATATGTACGTACGTGTCGTACATCAGGCAGTTGCCTGCAGCAGGCGGCTGCTGTGCACTGCAGCAGCGAGCATCCGTGCAGAAGACATGTAGATGCCCGCCCATTGCAAGAAATAGATAAAGGGATGCGATAAACATGGATAAAGTGGGCATGCGCACGCCAAGGACCCCAGTGAGCTGCTAGGTAATAAGCCTCCCCCGGCTAAGAAGGTGCTCGCTATGTATATAAATATAACTAACTGCCGCCTGCGTTATTGCTGCCAGCAGATGGAAAATGGCTCACTTGTCCTTGCAGGCAGGGCAGAACGCAGCCATCTCATTTGTAACATCCACATCTTGGTAGCCGTCGCTTGTCGAAAATGTGAGCGCCGTAGGCAAGAAGTGGTACGGCTTTTCCAGCCGGTTTTGTGCCAGGATGATCAGCGAGCCGCCTGCGTTCATATTACGAAGAGCGTGCATGGCGTGTAGTGGTCAGTTGCTAATTATTCCTTATTTCCTGCCTGCTTTACCCTGCTTTAAAAAATGCGGTAAAAGCGACGGGCTTGCTAAGTCATGATTGATGGAAAGGTATGGACTTGTGAGCACAGGACGCTGCACACATCGCGATCGGTCCTCAGCAAGCCATGCCAAAAAAATGAAACTAGAGTTATATACATATACATACGTCAGTTATCCAGATGCATGCCGTACGCACTGTATATATATTTTATATCTATATAACGATATATATAGATATATGATAAACACTTAATATGACATAATATAAATATCATCTACTGCAGTGTCAATCTGGCTAGCTGGATGCAATCGGGGCACCTGCTGGCCGATTCGACAAGCCACTGCACACGTACGCCATACGACATACACAGGCAGCCCCCAAAGAAAGTGCTACCGGAGCCTAGCGACTACTCCCATTGCTGAGCTTTCCTCAAAACCAAAACACCGACGGGTTTGTTTGCTTGCTTGGGCCCGGCGTTGCTTAGCTTGCGCGGGTTTGCATTGCGAATTGCTGCTGCACGTCGCAATGCGGTTAGGACACAAAGCCGCCTTGTATCGCCTCCGTGCAACCTTAAAAAACACCCATCGCATTTTTAAGGTTCCACTTTCTGCAAGTAAGGCACCCAACCGCCGGCATCTATGACGATGATCCATCCCTCCACGCGCTTGTTGCACTCTACCGGCATCTTTATTTCGTGCCTCCAGCCAAGGTTCTCCCTTCGTCTTACGAGAGCTCTGCGCACCTCCACCACCACCGGTGCTTTAGCTTACTCCCACCTGTCTTCCTTTTGTTTACCAGCGAATTTCTGTTGCTACATCCTGATGCACGTGGCTCGGCCTAGCTTACGCCCAACTGCACAGTTTTATTTACCCTTCCGTTCCGCCTTCGTGTATTAAGAAACAGCGCTCCCCCCTATCCTCTACCCTCAACCACCGCACGTCCGTTGGGCATCTACCGGGGTATGTTAGTCATCAGGTTATTTAGCTCTACGGGGCTATGTGCCCATTTTCGATGCAATCCTGTCTGGGGGTTCTGCAGGTGGGTCATACGTCATACCAGCGAGTGTTATGCATGCCGCCGCACAACAGCTACGATAAGAAAACGCTTCCGTGTTGCCTGCTACCGACAACAATAACAGCGTAGCAGCGTTCATTCCCCGTTGTTCTCCTTCAACATTCGATCCGCGACACCATCTTCACGCCTAATGTCCGCCGCGTCTCGCTGCCTGGCCTTTCGTACTTTTCCTTTTCCAAGTATTGCTCTTCCCTAGCGCCCAAGCCTTGTCCTACCTCTGAGCGGGAGGGAGATCTTGGCTTCAACATCCTCCCTCCCTTCACTGGGTGATGGACTCCCCATTACCATTACCACTCCCGCCACCCTGTTGCTGCTGTTGACAAGGGCGCCCCCACACGCATCCAGCCACCCAGCTAGCCACACACGCCAACTTGCAGAACGTACCTTTGTTATTCACAAAATCGGCAATGCCATCCCGAGCGGCGATCAGGGCCTCGTTAAGGGCGTCGGTCATACCACCAGCCGTCGCCGTGTCATCTGAAGGTACAAAAAGCAGCTTGTACTGGCTCAGGTTGTGGGCCGCCATCTCGGCGGGGTCCGTCACGTACTTAATAATGGATGCCGGATGCCCGGCATCCGTGACCCAACTTTCCAGCTGTGTTCGAGCGGCCTGCTCATTCATGTATTCACGGTAAGGGTAAGTCGGGCAGACAAGTAAAAGCCGAAGGGGAGGTTTCGCATACCAGGCATGCGAGACGTCCATCCGTACAGCAGCGAGCCTCACAGGCATGCAGGCAGGTTGGATTAGAGCTAGGTATGGTTTAAAGCTAGCATCCATGCGAATGCCCTCTGTGGGCCGGCCGTCAATCATCGTGGGTTGGCTACCGCAGTTGATGAATGCGAAGGTGCCTGCTGACCGACGCGTATTTAGATTTTAGATCTCCTGGCCCCGCTTCACGTCTAGGTCATGCATGCATGCATGCATGCATGTGACGGATCAATCCCCTCCTCGTGTGACGGTGGAGCATGATTAAAAATGCTCGAGCAAAGGTGGAGAACGGGAAGGGAGTGGGAAAGGCTGATTGACACCGAACTCCCCCAACTTGCAGCGGTGTGCGGTGCGGTGATTAGCTGCTGCCTTTCTCCCGCGTGCTATCTATCTCCGTGACTGGCTGCTGTGTACACAGGAACTCGACTGGCAGCGGTGAGTTAGCACGTGGTTTGGGCGGTTTGGGCGGTATCTTCATCGCACATCCTTATCATCAGAACTGCGGTAGCGGAGCATCCCTGCCTGGATTCCCTTCTTCACTTGTGTTCCACTTGCATGCTTGCATCCCATATATATTCTAACACACGGATAGACAACGTTGCGCATATAGAGGTCTGGTGGTGTAGGTGTCCTAGCCGCCCCAATACTCCTCACTGGTGACGATGCCGTGTTAGCGGAGTAATAAATACATGCGTGCCAGTGCTTGGGATGAGTGGCACGCTGATGAATCGGGCGAAGGCCCCAAACCTTTGGGCAAACCTTTGGACAAACTTCTTTACCTTCTTCACACAAAAGTGTGAACGTGTGTTTAGCATGATGACGACGGCGAACCGAGCCAACGGGTAAACGTATAAATACCAGCAGACGTACACATGCATTCACACACTTACAGATCCGGTCGTATAGCCACCCAAGGTTAGGATGCCACTTGCGTCGCTCGGTGCCGCATCCAACGCTGATCTGATGAGGCTTGTGAGGAGCTGCTCCCCACACCCTGTGGCTTGGCACTGAGCAGCGAATGTGTGTATGGACAGACACAACGGTGCCGGCAGGCGGCAGGCAGCAGGCGGCAACAGCAGCAGCAGGAGCAGGCAGTATGCAGCATGCAGCGGTTGGTCATCGTCGGGATCTGGTGTTGACAATGATTAACAAAAGTAATGAAGCAATAAAGTGACTAACTTCATTGCAGTTACTTAGTTCGAAAGCTCTTCTGCGCATAATGCACCACCACCTTCTTTTCCTCTTCGCCTCTCCCGCGGCACTTCTACCCCAACAGCCAACTTCTGCAGCCCGCAGCCCTCCTTGGATGCGGCTGCGGCCAAACGTACTAAGAAACCATAAAAATAGGGTTTTCCGAAGGCTGCTGACTAAGCAAGGAAAGAACCATTGCGCTAGCTGCTGCTGCATGTGGCAATGCGCTGTTGTGTGATTGCGCTCGGCCTCCGTGCGAAATGCACGGGAAATGTACATATACACGCTTGGGTGTTACCGCTCATCTATCCATCGCCACGTCCAAAACGCGTAGACAACCTAGCTGCGGGTGTGCGGTTACACACACACCATGTCGTGCACCAGCCACCTACCTGTATCTGCCGGCAAGATGCCGGCGGAGCGTGCAGGGCCTAGCTAAGCCTCGCGGGGGTTTACATTAGATTTTTGTTTTCACCAGGCAGGTGAGGCGGCGAGGCGAGCAGGGCGGGCACGCATACATGCTTGCCTGCAACCGTGCTTATTTATACACACAACGCGGCGCACGGCTGCATCGCTATTCCCGGCCCCGGCATGCCGACTGCCCAAAACCCTGTTTGTTTGCCGGGGCCTCTTGCACTTGCATGAGCCGGGCGTATTCATTCGAAAGCTTCTTTCACTAACAACGATACGCGGCAAATTATCTCTTACACATGATTGCCACCGGTTTTGAGGGCGCCAGCTGACCGATGGAGGTCCACTTTCAAACACTCAACTCAGCTGTGGCTTCACACACACATATATACACGCATGGCCAGATTGACTGCATAAACCCTAAGTAAGGTGGTAATGATAATCTTTTATGTGTTGCAAACACGTGGTTGTTGCGCGTCTTCTGACGCAGGGGTGACATAACATGCGCGTGTTCACGCTGTGTGCATGCGTGTGTGTATGTACGTGTGTATGTATGTGTGTATATATCTGCGTGCGTGCGCATGTGTGTGTGCGCGTGTGTATGTGTGTGTGTGTGTGTGTGTAAATCGGTCGTTGATTGCCACAAAGAACGGCGGACGGCGAACGCTTATCGCGGTTCCCTTTTTCGTTAGGTCAGGAACCCTCCATCGGGCCCTCCTACTCTACATACACTCCGAGCTATACATACTGGGAGCCCCTACTGTACACTCCGAGCAATGCATGCGGGTCATTTATCTTCCCCCCAAGCGCTGCCAATGCCAGCTATTCAAGAACTTATATACTGGCGGCCGCGGGTTGACAATCGCGCAAGGCTGGACGGGCGGGGCCGATGCCGGCTGTATGTGACGCATGGGTGAGCGTCCAGCAAGACCGGCATGCACATTCGTTATCCTAACTCGCAACTATGTAGAAAGCAGTGTCCGGCAAGGGGGATGAGACCGTAGGATCGCTGCTCACCGTGCTAATGTCTACGGCGTCTGAGATGACACACACAAAGCCGCCACTCGAAGCAGCGCTAATGTGATCAACCAAAGCCACTTGAAAAAAAATCGAAATCAGGAGCAGCTGCCTGCTGGCAGTCCAGACGGCGCGGTGCTTGCGAGAAAGGGGTTCGCCGGAAGCTTGAGACATGTACCTCCATACAGCGGCTCAGCATCCTGCGGCAGCCAGACAACTAGACGAAACGTAATCTACACATCACCATTATGACTATCGGCTCATGGCATCGGATCTAGGCGTAGGATCACCGACTACTATCAGGGTCGAGTCATTATTTTGCTATCGTTGCGTCTGATGTGAATAAACAGTTTTTGATGTTAAACATGCCATTTTCCTTACCAAGTGGATTCGGCCAAATGTGGGGCCCCGCAACCTAGACACAGGTGGTCAGATGTTTTAATAGGTATTGACGCATTATCATTGAAGCTGTGTATGATGATTGGACTGTCATGTGTAAATCCGGTAGGATAGTAACGGCCAAAGCACAAGCGTGTACGGTCCGGCATGCAGCTGCAGTGTGCACTCTCTTTGTCACGCTAGTAGCGATTACAATCGGGACCCAGCACGCACGAATCCCTAAATAAGTCAAATCGTATACTATGAAATGCTGCAAAGCTGGTGTGCAAAGCTTGCGTAGAACACATTGGGTTCTCGCGGCTCTCGACATCCAACTGATTATCAACAATCAGCCCGACGGTGACAGCTTTGCTCTACCCAACCTGAAACCCATGGCATTCAAGACATCATGACATAATAGTCCTCTCCCATATACTCAAGTTAATATATGCAAGGTGAGTCAAAATGGTGGATGTCGTCACATTTCGGCGCTCGTTCCACCTGCAGAGGGTGGCCATTTAGCCAACAGGATTTCTTTTCCTAAAAAATGTTCGTTATGTAGGTCCTTCCTGGCACGATAGTCGGCCCCTCGCAGTTACTGCGCAGGTATTGTACCGGTAAGCTTTCCAAATTTAGAGCGCAAGAAAGGTAATGCGCATTTACAGATTGGTCTGTTAGTTTAACACCATCACTGATGAATATAGAATTTAACAATTAACGCGACGTCAGGTGGCCCGTAAAGGTGTACGATGCAAGTGGTCGCTGCGCGTTGATGAGCATCGAACAGCAGTTGCCTCCGGTGCGGCTGGCGAATCTCGCAGCTGCCATTCAACCATTTATGTGACAGATCACTCTATCATCGGGTCATTCCTATCGTGGCGGCAAATATCCTCGATTGTTTTCCTTGAAGTGGAAAATAGAAGACAGAAGGGTGGATGAGGCTGACGCCAGATGTCTTGAAACTTGTGGCTGCTTGCGTTCCGTTAGGTTTCGTAAATTTCTGCTGTAAGATGAATGTGCCGATGAGCTGCCATAAGCTAGATGCATGGTGGGATGCTACCATAGCGATACAGTCCCAGACAGATTGATTTCCTTGAGCACTGCAAAATATATGATGGTATATTTCGAAAAAAAAACAAGCAGCGGGCGCATTAGCTGCTGCAGAGATACATTTGGTTACTAAAATATTATGCGAGGGGATGTTCGATTCGGACGTGCTGCGGTTGAACATTTTGTAATCCACCAGCTGGTGGATTACACACCTGCAGTATGCGTCCATGCCTCGTGAGCGTTTGCAGCTCTTCTTACGCATTGTTGCGATCTTATAACGAAGTCACAGTTCGTACACGTGATTGTCCCATCAATTGTACAATGCATATCATTGTTTGCATTATTAAAAGCCAATAAATTTTATTAGATGCATTAAATGCAGGAAATTATGCGTACATCCAAATACTTGAAGTAGGCAGGGCTGTTCGATTAGTTGACGGATCCTTATGCGACAGCCGGTTTCGCCCCCTGCTTTGAGTGGCTCGCTCGTTGGGCAGCAGCATGCATGTCATGATATGCATGTATCAAGAAGCCTACAGGAACGGAAAAAATAACACGGTACTGCCATGGAGTTCCAAAACTATTTAAGCTAATAAAACGTACTTTTGTTATTTAAGCTGTATAATTGCAAGTACCATTGCAATTAGAAAGGTGCACCAAACAATACTAGTATGGCGGGCGCTTTTCATCATCTATCCGATGAAAACCAAAATAGGTCGCTGGTACGATAAAGATGGCGATAGTGATACTCCTAAAATGCACTGCTAGGGTGTTCGGTGTTATTGACTGCGGGGATAATGCACCTTTCGGCTTCAAGGCGGTTCAAGATATCTAACTGGAACTGCGAAAATCAATGATGGAAAAAGTTTCTAACACAACTACATACGTTTGCGGTGAGGCCTTACTAGGACGGGCAATTCATGTACCGAGGAAGATAAATACAAATATTCGTTTTATCGTCGTGTTAAATGTTCCTTCTGTGTTCAGTAGGCATGCTGGAACGTCTAATATGAGCGAAGTCTGCGCGGCAACGGATTTGTGCCCGTTGACGCCCCTCTGCCTACCCGCCTTCCTGCCTGCAGCTGCTGGCCGCCTGCAGGCGCTGCAGCAGCTGCTGCGCACGTATGTCGGCAAACAGTACGAGCCCAGAAAAAAAACTGCAAATTCCAGTGGCGGGCACGTGTTACAACCTCAAGGATGGCACTAATTTTAATGCACCTTAACGCTTCCCTGTCCTGAAGACGATAACTGTTTGGCAATAAGCTACAGTTGCTGCTCCACGCCGATCAATCCAGGATGCCCTCAACCCCCAGGATGTCCGAGCCAGCAGGGTGAACTTTCCTCAGGCAGCAGGCTGTAAGATCCAGCCTGCAGGCTGGGATGACACCCTTTCCGTTGGCTCTTGCACCCTAGACGTGCCGTATGAATAGGGTCTGTCGTTAGCAATGCACGTATAGGGTGACTGCGGCAGGCTCATGTGCTTCACGTGCTTACACGTGCTTCTGGGTACTGCGCCCGCACGTACGCAGCGTGCAGTGAACGGCGAATCTGCAATCATACACTGCGATCAAAACACCCAAGGGTACATCATCGTGCATATGTTCACCAGACGGGCGGACTGACTGGCGGACGCCGCGTTGGGTCCGACAGCTAAAATTTTTACCCTTCATAACTTTCGGCCAACAATAAGGCGAGGGAAGGTTTTGGGTTTACAAAGGCGAGATTTCCTTGTGCCTGGCCGTACGATGATACCCGGCCGACATATTCAATACGTGCGCGGCACGTGGCCCCCTTGCATGCATGGCTTTTGCGTGCACGCCTGGCGTGTAGTCGGCATCCCTGGGCTGCATGATTGCACGGACACGCCTGCACACCGCGTATTTTTCTCTAGCAGCGCGCACGATAGCACAGAGTGCCTGGTGGGTGAATAGCAACTGTCAGGTAGATCCACCACGCCAACGCATGTCCATCCACTTCCCTCCGTTCGTAAAAAAACACGTAGGAAAAGCAAAGCGTGGACCCCCCCCATATCCACCCCCCCGGAATAGCGAATACCTATTACCTAATATAGGCGCAACCTGCTAGTTCACTCGCTCTGGCTGGCTAGATAGAGCAAGCAAGCAAGCAGCCGGATGCTGCACGCTCCATGAACGCCACCGATGTCGGCCGTGTGAGCGTCTGTGTGCGGGGCAGCAGTGCGGGGCCGCCGTCATGTAAATCCGCCCGCAGAGAATACATTAGTAACTACGCCGCCGCCACCGCCGCTGCCGTCTGAGCGATGCACACATGTATACACATGCACGCACGCACGCACGCACGCACGCGTTGGTCAGGCCACGTCATTTGCGCGCTTGCGTGCGGCGTGTAAGCATCTATGTGTCTTACTTATCGACGTCTTGTATCACCGTTACTCACCGCCGGTCAGCATCCCACACTCAACAAAGCATACGCTAACACATACTTACATACATACATACTTACTTACATACATACACATAGATAATGGGGAAGCAGAAAAACTTCTTGTGCATTTTTACGAATGGATTAGCGCCGCGTCACCTGCTCGGATTTACGGACCTTACTTCGGACACTACTCCGTACTCATGCATGCACACTTGGGTGCGGGCCATTAGGGACAGCCCATCGATGGAATGTCCTGCTGGCCGCCTGCTGCTGCTGCTGCTGCTGCTTTATGATAAGCTACGAGGAACGGGCACGAGCGAGCAACGCCTCCACGGAGGTCAAAATATGGCAGCTGTGCGCTGAGCCGAACTGCCATGTAGGGGTTTACCCTGGCATCCCCCATCAGCGGCCAGTGGCTTATTTCTCGCACAGACCTCGTGCCACACACCTTGACTAATGCACACCGACATCCTTGCCGGACTTGCTTGCTGCCATGCTGCTTCCCAAACGTCAGCAAGCCAACTCTCACGTGCTAGGTAGACGTGCTCAGGGTGCACAACCCTAAGCCGCGCACAACCCTAAGCCGTGCACGACCTTAAGCCGTGAACAGCCCTAAGCATTAATACTTTGCAAATTGCACCTAGCGGGTGACAGGCTTCCGATTCCCCGTGAGCTACCAAGACCCCGATATGAAAAGCAGTCCCACTAAGGCTGTTTAGAGGTTCACAGGCGGCAGGTTGACGCCCATGTCCTCTGGCAGCTGGCCTCGGTCGCTGCGATCACCCAAGCCGAGGGCTCCGTAGTCATTTGATCTGCGTGTATGTATGTCGGATGGGAAGCCGATTTTTACACATACACATGCTCCGAAAGACCTTATGTGTACACATGCAATGGAACGGGACAGATGGGAGTGTGTATGTGTGTACATATGTTACGCACATTAGCGATGCAGCAACATTACTGATGTTCGAGTTCCGCTGGGGTGGATGGATCAAAAGACGCCCAACACTACAGACATGCAGACATGCAGACATGCAGACATGCAGACATGCAGACATGCAGACATGCAGACATGCAGACATGCAGACATGCAGACATGCAGACATGCAGACATGCAGACATACATGCCGTAATAGTCGCGGGCAGGCAACCAAGGAAGCACGTGTGGCGACTCACCCCCAGCACTTGACGATGTTGCCTGGCTGCAGGAGCGCGCAGGTGTGGCGGGCGCCAGCCGCCAGCGCGGTCGCCTCCAGGCCCGGCCCCAGGTCCACCACCGGCAGACTGTTGCCCATCTCGCCAGCAGAGTCTCCGCGAGCCTTCTTATCACCCAATCCCAGCTGGCTTGACTTGTTGCCGCTGCGGGGAATGAGCATTCCAGGGTTCCGGATAGAATGGAGTTATCGACTGAGTAGATGCGGGGAGATGACCGACGCGATCTGAGACTGGTTTCGTGCACGCGACCCTCTTAAAATCCATATACCAAGATCGCAGTGGTGATATTTTACATCCGTACGTCCGTCTGTCTGTCTGTCTGCTGGTTCACGGAAACGTGAGCTTGCTGCCGCAGGCACTGCGCGCGGGAGAAAGGACACTACACGACACAGCTGCGGTCGCTGCTGGCTCCTCATCAACTACGTAGGTAGCCAGGTAGGCAGCCAGCCAGGCGAACGAGTCGCGGTTTTGCGACGACGACGACGACGACGACTAGTAGTGAACCCCAATCCCGCCTGTACCCCATAGCTAGCAAGCATTATAGTCTCCACAACAACTTTCCTCCAGGAGCCCTTTCTGCCTGAGCATTTCCTTGGCACCCACCCACCCACCCACCCAACCAACCAACCAACGCCCCCCGCCCTCACACACACATTCGCTCACCCCCAGCACTTGACGATGCCCCCAGGCTGCAGGATGGCGCAGGTGTGGAACTCGCCCACCGCCAGCACTGATGCGCTAAAGTTGCGGCCCAGAGAGACCTCGGGAAGGTCCCGGCTTATCTCCTTCGTGATGTTGCCGGTGCTGTCCACGCCGTCCCCTCGGTTCTCGGTGTCCCCCAGCCCCAGCTGGCCCTGGCTGTTGCTCCTGCGGATCACCAAGTGGGTTGGGCGCGGTCATCAGGCGAGGCATACGTACATTCAAAAAATGCCGTTCAGAGGAATCGTTCTCCAGCCGGCAGCTTTCCTTGTTTCCTGACCACAGATGTTGTACGTGCTGTGTAGCGAGCCATGCATGTACGTGCGTGCACATATATAACGTACATATCTGTATACATCGGTGCGTACGTATGTATGTAGGGGTATCTTACCCCCAGCATTTGACATTGCCACCGCCAGTGGACAGCAGCACGCACACATGGCTCCGCTCCGTCACCACCGCGTTGGCTCGACGACCCAGGTCCACGGCTTTTAGAGCAGCCCCCATCTCGCCCGATTCATCGCCGCGAGAAAGCGTGTCATCTAGACCCAGCTGACCCTCCATGTTGGCCCTGTGTACATACGTGCAAACATGCACAAATATATGCACACATACAAAAAGGTACTTACCGGCGGCATGAAGATCAAAGCCATAAGGGTCACCCGTTTAGGGGAAGGTGATAATAGTGCAAACGTACATGCATGTACGGCAAATGTGCACACATTTACTCACAAACGACTCAACTCGTCCCCACACCATTTCGTTAGTTTGTGTGTAATAACCGATGACATGATGCTTTTTCCATGCCAGGCAGGGGCTGGAATGAGATTTTTGAAATCACATGCCTTGGGGTCATATTTCTGATTTTTTGTGGACAGGCAGCAAAATCAGAATTTCATTAATTTAACGCGCAATCAAGCTCATGACAAACACGTACGCGTGCAATTCAATATTTTGGGGATGTCACCCATTTGCACGCCCGAATGCACGCACACGCACGCACCCCCAGCATTTCACTAGCCCGCCTGGGTTCATGAGCGCGCACGAGTGCGACGCGCCCAACGACAGAGCGGCAGCAGTGAGATTCGAGCCCGAGCCAGCCAGGTCCACGGCCGGAAGGGCAGCTCCCATATCAGCGGAATCCCCGCCGCGATTGCGAGTGTCACCAAGGCCCAACTGCCCGTTGGTATTCAACCTGCAATCAGCATGATCGCGAGGCGTCGCAGCAAGGCACGTACATGTGTGCTTTACCAGGGCATAGTGTTTCACCACGACTGCAGAAAAATACCGACCAGCGAAAGGGTGATCCCGTGATACACCCTACAGGCGCTACAAAACATAACCGACAGGAGAACCACGTTGCCAAAGGCATCCATCGTGCACACGTGCGCCCCTGCTGCGGCCCTCAGGAAAGTGTCATCACCATATCGGCTGCCAGTGCAACTTTCAACATGGATCAGTGCTGGGAGGGGTTTTCGCGGCCGGCAGGTTGTTTGTTATCAAGCTGAGCCGCCGGCGGCTGGCGGCTCAGCTGCTGTAACACGGCAGGACACAGCGCAGTGAAGCGGATAGTAAAGTGGAGCACCGGCCTCTACGTAAACATGTTTCTTTACATGACATGTTAGCATTTCTGGCGGGGCCTATGCATGGATTGTTAACAAGGGAGCCTCAACATGAAGCCCGCATGTATGTATGTATGTCCGATGCCTGCCATGCAGCCCGCTGGATGCATCATCACTTATGCCAAACCATCTATCATTTCCGGCCCACTGCTTGTAAACTAAGAAGACAGAACCAAGCCAAGTGCAAACACATGTGTTGTAAGCGCAGCGTGGTGGTACCGTGGGGCAGATAGCAGCATGTTTTGTTGTAGTAGGAAAACGATATGACTGGTTGCATGTCTAACACCGAGGCAGGAAAGGCACTGGCTGCAGCTGCATGACAGGCGTTCGCCATGACTATGAAACCCGCAGCAGCCGTGCCAAACAACTGCAAGCGCACGTCACCATTCACCTGCATTCACCACCGCGATCTACATAAGCCGATATCGTTACTCACCCCCAGCATTTGACGATGTTACCCGGCTGCAGGATGGCGCAGGTGTGGTTGCATCCCGCAGCCAAAGCTGTCGCACTCAGGCCAGGGCCTAGGTCCACGGGCGGGAGCGCACTGCCCATATCCCAGGCCAAGCCACCGCGGTTGCGAGTGTCGCCCAGCCCCAGTTGGCCGACATCATTCAGCCTGTACATACACCCGCCATGCACACAAAACACCACCGCCATTCAGCTATCGTCACAGTTAAGAGATTCCAAGCTATGGGATTATTAGCTCCAAAACGCGCACATGACATTTGTTGGGCCGCGTCTATATGCCCTGCATATGCGACCCACGCTCATGCGAGCTGCTGCAGACGCACTCACCCCCAGCACTTGACGAAACCGCCTGGCTGCAGAAGGGCGCAGGTGTGGAAACAGCCGGCCGTCACGGCGACGACCCGCCGGGGTCCAAGGTTCACAGTGGGCAGTGCGGAGCCCATCTGACCCGGCTGGCTGCCGCGGTTGTCGAGATCCCCGACGCCGAGTTGCCCGAAGGTATTGCTCCTGACGTGTGGAATCATAGATACAAGCATACATTCATACATACATACATACATACATACATACATACATACATACATACATACATACATACATACATACATACATATCTTGGTAGAGCGGTATTGGGGGGGCGCCGAGCTGGCTACCCTCCCCCCCTGTGGTTTCCGGAGGCTTGATCGCCCTGCGTTGCCGCAGGGTCTTCCCGTTTGAGTACTTTTCAATTTAGACCCAGTGCTGTGGAAGGGCGCGGACTTGTGCGGTGTTACCCCCTCGACGGGGGCTATCTCCCCTGGACTAGCCCAGGGAGGGAGAGGCGGAGGAGGGTAGTAGTCTCAGGAGGCTGTTTGGCGTCTTGTGGTGTGAGCTCTTTGCGCTCTTTTTTGCGTGAGGATTTTTGAGCTTGGTGACCTCCCCAGCCCGGGAAGACTCGTCGGGCTCCCGGTCGCCCAAGTCCTGGTAGCGAGCTCTCTGAGATGCTCGGTTCGTTCGGTCGGCAGGAAGAGCCCCCCAGTTGCGACTTCGTTTATGTTAGGAGACCAACGGGCATAGATCCCGTCTAGTTGGAGCGCCAAACAAGCGCTGTTGCGTGCCGGCCGTCGTTTCCCGTGCGGTCTGACCCGGGGGCGGAGTGCATGAGACTAACCAGCCGTATGCACCCCCCCCCCGCGCTGTGCTTCGGCCCTGGGCCCCCGGCTTTTCAGCCCACAGTGTAATCAACGTCATACATACATACATACATACATACATACATACATACATACATACATACATACATACATACATACATACATACATACATACATACATACATACATATACGAGCCACGCACGGCGGCAGTACAGTTTTTGTTAACCAGTAACGCCAAGTAGGCAAGCACGATTAACGAAATTCGTCGTCGCTCCCAACCACCCTGATGTACATTCCCCAGGTACAGACCCATGCACATGCAGCTGCATGCATGCATGCATGTGCAGTTGCATTCATGCACAGCACCCTGCGGATATGTGATGGTAGCTGTAGCTGCCGTACAGTACGACTTTACACACATCGTCCATAACTACGCGCTAAAGCGTTGTGCCAGCATCTTGTAAGGCCCATTTTCGGCGGCCATCCACTACAGCAACAGCTCACCCGAAGCACTTCAGGGTCTCCGGGCTTGCCGACATCACGCAGGTGTGGAAGGAGCCCGCCGCGATGGCACCTGTATAATCGAAAGTTGGTCGTGTACGGCACGGTGGTTGAAAACATCACCGATAAGTCATCAAGCATCCGTCTCCAACAGGCAGACGGTTGTCAGACGCGTACCACTGAACGCGCAACATGTCCATGCGAACGTGTAATGACGTCACATGCACCGGCTTGCTTAGTTGCTTAGTTGCTTAGTTGGTTGATTGTGGTAGTAGCTGCTAAGACAACCTTAAAGAAAGCCGGACATGAATATTAGGCCGTGCAAGGCAAAAGTGCTGGGTGGGTGGCATTCATGCATCACACAGCCACATGCAGGAAGCGCGTGGTGGGCCGGCACAGAGGTGGGCCGGCACAGATCCGCTCCAACTGGCGGTGGTGCGGTGTAACCCACCGACCTACCCACCTACCTACCTAACCACCTACCGACCTACCGACCTACCTAACCACCTACCTACCTACCTACCTACCCACCTACCTACCTACCTACCTACGTACCTGCCTACCCACCTACCTACCCACCTACCGGGAATGAAGGGGCCTGACGGTGGCGGCCGCGGTGACAGAGGCCGGGGAGGTGGTGGACTGGGGGGATTGGGGCGACCTGCCAGCAAGCGGTAAATGAGCGAGCGGTGAAACGACGAAGTGAAAGGAATGGCACGCCACGGACCACCCCACCATATGCCACAAGATTAACGTACCGCAGCGTGCTCGTTGGCAGCATGCACCCTTTCAAACCGAAGACTGTCTGTAAACGTGCACCGCGAGTGCGGCAGCTGGGTTCCATCCACAGTGCAAAACCCCTATGTGTTACGTCACGTCACGTAGGAGGGATAGCTGAGCCAGGCACATCGTTGCTGTTGTGCATGGCAATGCGCTTGCTCCACAACACACAACATACAGGTAAGCGGCGCACCACCTTGGCGCATCACCTGATGGGGGAATTCACGTACCCAGCTATATCCACAATAATGCTTCATGCCCTCACTCACTGCACCTCCATCCATGCACGGAAACCTACAGCGTCTGTATCGCCGTGTGTATCTCGCTTTTCGTGTGTATGCATGCTGCCCCGCACACCTGCCCTCGTCCTCGTGCGTGCAACGCGATTCCACAGGGCGCACGTATCATCACAATGCACAGCAACAAGCACTAAAGCACTAAACCGCTCCGTCGCGCGATGCATCTCACTTGTATCGATACCGTAAGCCTGCAACTCCACCACCTCAAGCACCCGGGTCATGTAGTACGCTGTGTTCCGGCTGTTCTGGAGCGTCAACCACCGGCCCGCAACCGGTGCACGCAGGCTCACGTCCAGCACACCGCCGGTAGCGCCGGCGTCCTTCTCGCTCCACACCAGCGGGTTGGAGCGGATAAGGCCCACATCGCTAGGCCGGGAGATGCTGGTGTTGCCCACGCGCAGCTCTACACCCCCCATGGCGTCACCGCAGCAGTCCAGACGGTAGAAGAGCACGATGCGTTGCACCAGCATCATCGGGCTGCCCAGGTCGATGGACAGCCAAGGGTTGATATCGCCCTGGTCGGTGCGGAAGGTCCTCAAAGGGGAGGACGTGTTGCCGTCGGTGGCGTACGACGGCAGGCACTGATCGTTCTCGCAGTAGCCCACTGCGGCGCTGCCGCCCAGGTAGGAGGACGCGTACGTCGGGCGACCGGCTGCCAGGTTCGCCCAGCGGCCTACAGGCGGATGTAGGTGTGCCACACAGCGGCAGTGGCATCAGCAGCGCCAGCAGCGCCAGCAGCGCCAGCACAGCAGCAACCACACAGGGTTAGAATGCAAGTGAACGTGCACATGAATGAACGTGCACTTGAATGAACGTGCAAGTGCATGGTGTAGTAGCTGTCCGCCAAAAAGACCTCGCAAGATGCTAGAAGGAATGCGCTCTCGAGCGTATATAGAAATAATGTATTGGTGGTGTGCGCCGTACGACAGTTAGTATACAGCTCAGGACTGCAGGTAAAACGCCGGCAGGCCAGCATTGCAGCGAGCATCATGGGTTAGCATCATGCAGGCGGCGTCTATCAGGCTACCTGCATACACACATACATGCACACATACATACATGCATACATGCATACATGCATACATACATACGTACTGCGCACCCGGAATGATAGAGCGCGGTGGCGGAGGCGGCGATGGTGACGGAGGAGCGCCTTTGCCTGCAAAGTGTAAATTCAAGGTGGTGTAAATCAAATGTACGTAGGACTCTGGTGTCACCAAAACCCTGCTCTGTCCACGCTTGCGCTGGCGCGGCGAACAAACAGCAGGCATCTGTCGAACGTCGAGGAGCTATACAGCATTATTCAACTTACGACACGCATGGCATTGTATGTGCCGTACACTCGATGCTCTGGAGGTCTATCCTTGGCGCGCGCCCCCCGTGCAAATTTACAACTTACAACTTACAACTTACAAGCGGAACAGTGATATACACTTTTAATGCTAGTGTGCATCAACATACAGGTACGTCCGCCGTACATCAGGCAGGTCGGCGCGGCCACCCAAGCCCCAGGGGGTAAGGCCCACACCAGGGAATGTACGGACATAAACAACGCGATTCGCGACGATGCTGATCGTGAACTGAAAGAACATACCGTAGCAGCGAATGCCGACGTCCTGCAGGCACAGAGTCAAGCAACAGCGTTTGGCACGACATGGTGCGAGAGAGAGAGAGAGAGACACACACACACACACACACGCATGCACATGCACGTGCACATGCAAATGCAAATGCACGCGCACATACATACGCACACACACACAAAGCAGGGGAACCACGTCAGCACCGCCTTGTCCTAAGCGGCGCAGGTCAATAAAATAAAACAAAACAGCAGTGTGGGGTTGTTGGTGTATGTATGTATGTATGTACGTACCTCTGTGTGGTAGCAGTCGATGTAGGAGCCGTCCTCCCAGCTCTGGTACTTGCACTGCTTCAGGCGAGCAGACCGCGGCTGCTCACTGCAATTGACGTTGTTCTGCACATCATTAAACAACCAATCAGCCAATTAATCAACAAACCAACTAACCAACCATCAACGAATGCACGTTATCATGATTCGTCGGCACGCGCAGCAAGCAACTGGCAGTGTAACACCTGATACACAGACAGACAGACAGACAGACAGACAGACAGACAGACAGACAGACAGACAGACAGACAGGCAGGCAGGCAGAACGACAGACAGACAGACAGAAAACAGACGGCGGAGTAGTCGCGGGAGATAGGTGCCAAGGGGACCAGATCCCCTCTCACAGCCCGAGGGCCCTGTAACGGTTGCAGCTGCTGGCGAAGCCACGTCCTACGTGGCCGCACGTACGTAAAACTTACAACACACTACGACACAACACATATTGTTCGCATGTTCCTTCTCTAGGCCGCCTACCCGCCAAACACCTCGGTGCTCTGCTGCAATCTCACCCGCTGCTGGACTGAGCAAATACTTCATTTCGTACTCAGTTTCATCCTAGCGCACGCACGCGCACGCACACACACACACACACACACACACCCCACACACAAGCTCTCCGTTCCGGGTCCCTCACCATCAGGATTCGGCCAGTACCCATGCCCCAAGTGCGCGACACAAGGGTGCTGAGCACTACCACGCCCTCATTGTATCCAAGCTGACGGCAAGCCACCGTCGCCTCCACGTTGCTAAAGCCGTCGTCACTGCGTAAGTACGGCATGTACGACAAGGAGCGGCGATGTTGGTTGTTATAGCATAGTAGGAGTATGTACTGTACGAGCAGCTCCACTTATCGACGTCGCATCAGTAGGGTCGACACACACACAGCTCCCACATGTCCCACACTTACCACACCGTGCCCCACTGCTTTCCGTCGTACACCTCGAGGCGGCCCTCCCCAGGCCAGTCGCCATTAACAAGCCGTAGGTCGTACTTGGCTGCATGTGAGTACATACGGACATACACAGGGAGGGAGTAAGGTTCCCAGGCTCCAGCGGCGGACCTGCGGAACCTGATTCGACTCGTACTCGTGCATGTAATTTAATTAAACATTTGTGGAGTACTGTTTGAGTTCCTGAAACTGCTAAAAACCGGAACCGCTGGCTGCCAGCTGGCAGCTGGCAGCGACCAGCAGTTTAGCACCTGTTGTACAGTACGGCATATATATACACACTTATCCGTACGTTCCAACCGTATCAAAAGCCGTTGACGCTCAGTCCGGGATCAGTCAACCACACGGAGATACGCACCAAGCGGCACTGTGTCGTTACTGGGCGGCGCTCGCGGCGGTGCGAGGGGAACGGGCGGCGGCGAAGGCGGCTGGCGCGCTGTGGAGGAAGGGGATTTTGAGCCAGAGGCGAGTGGGATGTGCCAGTGTTGTTGGTGGAGGAACAGCTTGATTAGCAGTGGGGCTTAACGAAGGCCGTGGAAGGTGATACGATACGAGGAAGGACATACTACCCAATAAATAAACTGACCCAAGCGGTAATCAATGGTGAGGAAAGGAAAGGAAAGGAAAGGAAAGGAAATTGAAGCGAGGGCCAAAGCAAGTACAAATAGCCATGGGGCATGGGGCATGGGGCATGCACACCCGGTTTAGCATCTCAAGCATGGCGCATGTAAAGGGATAAACAACCGTTTTTTCTCGTCTCTGATCTGCCGGGGCACCGAGTACATCGGGTGCATTCCACAGCAAACCTTCCGGTCATGCCAACAGAATCGGTTCACACCTACGTCTATGCCAGGTCTGCTGCTGCTGCTGTTGCTGCTGCTCAGGACCACCTTCGCTGCACCACTTTGCTCCAAGCTGCTGACAGGTGTGAGCCGCCTGGTGATATCCGGCCATCTTCCCCTTCTCTCCTCGTCCCCCCCCCCCGGCTCTCCATTTCCCCCGGACGAAATTCAGCCCGCTAATATAACCTTGTGTGCTTATGTCCATAATGGTGGTAAGCTTGCAAGCGGGGGCTTCGCTGGCCGCCCCTCAAGATCTCCCCCGGGCCGCGGCCCTGCCCGCCCTTCAAGATCCCCCCACCCCGGGGCCCCGCCCGCCCTCTCGCCCATGCACCCACCGCGGCAACGGACGCCCACATCCTTCGCTCGGTCCAGAGGGGGGGATGCCGGAGGAGGATCAAACGGCGGTCGCAGAGAAGCGAGTGGTGGGAAAGATCAACAGCGCGCAGGGTCGGTTTGCGAGGCGGATAGACGTCAAGAGGGCAATCATATAGAGCAGTATCAGTACGTGTGCATTGCGCCTCTCAGAAAGCCGTGTGCGACTGTACAGCGCAGTAGGAATGATGATGGAAATTGCATCATGCAACAGCGGAAAGAAGGACTGCATGCATGCGGACGTCTACAGCTGTAAACTGCGTCTGGTGCTGCAGCTAGCCGACGAGCTGAGCTGGGTCGACCTAGCGAGTCCGCGAGTCAGGTGTGTCAAGAAGCCAGGAGTACGCTGCTGTCATGTCCCGTAAGCAATACGTTATACTATGTCCCTAACCTAACTTGTGGCTCTTATTAGGCTCTTGGGCCTCTGGCTAGCTCGTATGGGCTGGCTCGTTACACCTCTCTGGGTGACGCAACCGAGGTGTAAAACACATATACACACACAGGGTTTCCGGGTTTCCTCTGTCTTAGTGATCCCTCACCCCCCCAGGCCGGGGATGGACAGCAGCCCTTGTGAGAGCGAGCGAGCGTGTGACAAGCCCCACTCCCCTGGGGAGGCGAGCGGAGCTAGCGGACCTGCGGCTCTTTGCTGCCTAGGAGGTTCCAGAGGCCCCGTCCGCGGGAGAGAGGTTAGGCGGTCATTCTGTCGGGGCTGGGGAGTTCAGGCCCTGGCTCGTGTCAGGCCTGGTCGGATACAGATACTTGTAACCTTTACACAAAAAAACAAATACGCGTGACCCGCCCGCGTACAGGTTGAGCAGCTCGCAGCAGCTCTCCCCCGCTATAGTCGCCACGCAGAGGCATCCGACGCAGAGGCAGTCGCGTTGATGTGATGGACTCGCGCACGCGAGAAAAACACAGCCTCTTCATTGCTGCTGCTGTGGGTCGTAGCCCAAATGCTTTCCCGTGTCACACTGGCCCACCTCCCCACTTCCCACTTCCCACTTCCCGTGTCGCACTGGCCCACCTTCCCACTTCCCACTTCCCACTTCCCGTGTCACACTGGCCCACCTTCCCACTTCCCACTTCCCACTTCCCGTGTCACACTGGCCCACCTTCCCACTTCCCACTTCCCACTTCCCGTGTCGCACTGGCCCACCTCCCCACTTCCCACTTCCCACTTCCCGTGTCGCACTGGCCCACCTCCCCACTTCCCACTTCCCACTTCCCGTGTCACACTGGCCCACCTCCCCACTTCCCACTTCCCACTTCCCGTGTCGCACTGGCCCACCTCCCCACTTCCCACTTCCCACTTCCCGTGTCGCACTGGCCCACCTCCCCACTTCCCACTTCCCACTTCCCGTGTCGCACTGGCCCACCTCCCCACTTCCCACTTCCCACTTCCCGTGTCGCACTGGCCCACCTTCCCACTTCCCACTTCCCACTTCCCGTGTCGCACTGGCCCACCTTCCCACTTCCCACTTCCCACTTCCCGTGTCGCACTGGCCCACCTCCCCACTTCCCACTTCCCACTTCCCGTGTCGCACTGGCCCACCTTCCCACTTCCCACTTCCCACTTCCCGTGTCGCACTGGCCCACCCCACTTCCCACTTCCCACTTCCCGTGTCGCACTGGCCCACCTCCGCACTTCCCACTTCCCACTTCCCGTGTCGCACTGGCCCACCCCCACTTCCCACTTCCCACTTCCCGTGTCGCACTGGCCCACCTCCCCACTTCCCACTTCCCACTTCCCGTGTCACACTGGCCCACCTTCCCACTTCCCACTTCCCGTGTCGCACTGGCCCACCTCCCCACTTCCCACTTCCCACTTCCCGTGTCACACTGGCCCACCTCCCCACTGCTTGCTTACTTGTTCATGACGGCAGGTGGCCCCCTCGAAGCCCACATCACGGCACTGGTGCAGGAAAGGAGGCGGTGGCCCCCCGAGGTAGTCACACTCCACGCCACCCTGTGACGAATGCAACGACCAACGACCAACGACATGCAACCGAGGCGGGGTGCGGTCGGCGGGATATTATAACAGCAATGGGCGGTGTTGGACACCCTGCTCTGCTGCTGCCCGCGGATCAGAGGAATAAAGTTTAGGGGCCAGGGTTAGGGGCCATGGGGTGGCGGATGGTGGCGGATGGCCTCTTCTTCCTTTTTGGTGGAGCGACCTACCTGCCGAGAGAGCGATCCCTGGGTTTGTCCCTGGGCTTAGCAAGCTCTTCGGTCTTTTCCTTCATCGCTGAACAGATCGAGGGCGGCTGGCTAGTGACCGAGTCCTACACGGTCACCACCGTCCCCTGCCGATGATGGACACACGCAGCCCGGTCCCCACACACCTAGCCAAACCCACGGGTGTGTGCGCACACGCACAGACACCCTACCCTACCCTCCCCAGCACCCACCCTACCCAGCAGCCTCCCTACCCCGCACCCTACCCCGCACCCTACCCAGCACCCTACCCTACCCTCCGAACGCACCATAAGAATGGGTCCGGTGCCACCGCCCCAGCGCTCCACAACAGAACCCGAGTCATAGCCCAGCTGCTTACACACCACAATGGCGTCTATTTCCTCAAACAGGTGGTCGCTGAGGGGAACGGTATTCAATTTTTACATATCGGCATATCGGGTTTTCATTCGTGAGTGGCAGGCAGGCAGGCAGGCAGGCAGGCAGGCAGGCAGGCAGGCAGGCAGGCAGGCAGGCAGGCAGGCAGGCAGGCAGGCAGGCAGGCAGGCAGGCAGGCAGGCAGGCAGGCAGGCAGGCAGGCAGGCAGGCAGGCAGGCTGCTGCCTAGCATTTGGCGGCTGGGTGAATGTTGGACCCCCCCCCCTCACAGCAAGACCACCACATCTCCAAGCCCGATATGGAAAACCCCCCGGTGCGCCATCACCAACTAGTTCCATCGCCAAACATTTCACGCGAGCGAGCTGACTCCTGAGAGCCGCGTGCATGAGTCTTATCCATGGCACGCTGTAAGCTACTGGGGGCGAGTGTGCGGTGTCGCGGCACCGCAGGTGTTTGATTGAACGCTGAATAAACGCACGAATGGACACATAAGTGTTTCACCGCTCATTCATTCATTCACCTACTCATTCACTCACTCACTCACCAAATAGTGCCCCACTCCTGGCCATCAAACATCTCCACACGCCCCTCGCTGGGGAAGCGGCCGCCCACCAGTCGAATGTCGTACTGCTTAGGTGCCGCCGGTGGAATGGGCGAAGGCACGGCTGCACGGGCACAAGGTCAACGACAAGGAACACGGGAGGTACCGAAAGAGGGTCGCAGAGGCGAAGAGCCGCAGCGGGCCAAAGACGGTAGAATGTGGTTCAAAACAAGGAGGGATTTATTCCTGGGAAGTGAAGGGCAGTTTCGGGGTTCGATAAAAGTCGTATACTGGGCAGGAGGGAGTGCAGAGGGGATGGGCGGGATGCGCTGTGGGATGTACGACACGTGTCGTCCAGTTCGGGGGGAACGGACGACCGGTGCCGCCCAATGCGCCCTTGCACCTTAAACAAAATTTCGAAATTATGCGCATGAATGGAGACACCTGGCATTTTCCTGAAGTATGTGCAACGGCAGGAGACCGGCGAGCACTTAATAGCTCAGCACGGTTGCGCCGTGTGCCATGGCGGCTCAACAACAGCACCGCTGGTGTGCGATGGCGTGTCCTTGAAATTTGTCGCGCGCTCTGGCGCAGCATGCCGTGTTCTACTGCCGGCCTATCAGTAAAACTGGTCAACGGCCAGGACGTACGTCTATGGGCGGCTGGGCATGCAAGTAACAGGAATGGGTGCCCTACGGGGGGTTCGCAGCGTGGACTGCAGTTTGTTTCCGCCACTTAGCAAGCTGCACGTTCGAGTCGAGAGTCAGGAGTTTGAGGACAAACTTCAGCACCTAACGCGGTGTGCCCTTCCCTCCTGTCAAGCCACCGTCACGTTACCAGGTTAACAGGGGGCTTATGACACACTTCACTTCACTTCCTTATATAAATTTGAGTTGATCGCACAGTATTTTGGAAATTTGCCAGACGTTGTCCCGCTGTGGCCAGCGGATGGATGATTCGCTGTGCGGGCTGCAGCTAGCCCGTACTGCAGCAAGCGAGTCCGACACGACCCACAGTCGGCGGAGTATGGAATGCTGAAATTGATTCAAATTGACAGGAAACTATTTGCTTAGTTTTGGTGTTGTTTGATGTCTAAGTTTGATTCACCGAAGACATTTGCCCAATGGCGACTGTTGCAGGCTGAAAAGATGCAGTGTGCTCGCGCGAACGCACCTGTTGGCGATGGTTTAGGTGACATCTTAATCGCTGGAGAAGGCGCTAGCGCGCAATGGCCGAGGCCAATCCAACCAGCGCCAAGAAGCGTGGCGAGCGCCAGCCAGGTTGCAGTTCCCCACATTCCAAAGAATTTTCAAAAATCCTGTGTACACTTTTCCTCAGTTAAGTCGACGGGATAGCGATTTAATCTGACAAACAGCTAGGAGCTTACAGAGTTTAGATAGTTGGCGTGCGCATGTGCACTTACACAGTATGAATCGGGCACACAACAATTCAACTTATCTTACTATCAGCTGATTCATCGCATGCTGTGTGCATCTGCACGTGAAAGCACTTACTTCATTTCCCACATTAAGACGGCCTTTTCCCGTACGAATACGAGTGCGTCAGTTCTGTTCGAACTATTTCAACGGTTAAGCTTAAAAGCGGCATGAAAAAGAGCTTGCGTTTCTGCTAGTTCAATAAATTGCAAGCCCGATTATTATTGTCCTATTCATTAACATTCCACCCCCGTCGGCCGCTACGGACGCAAGGCGATGCGAAGCCGTTTTAACGTGGACGACGCTTACAGTGATTCCTAATCTTCATTTTCGGTTGCATAATAATAAACTCAAAGCGATGTCTTTCCATTTTGTCGCCTTTTAGGTAACGCAAATCTTTGCTGGTCATGCGTGCAGTGTTGCGTTTGGGACACGCAAAGCTCAGCAAGCATAATGCTGCTCACGTCAATCCAGTAGCTTGCAATCCTTTGCATTTCTCTTTTGTATCCTCAATTCGACCTCCTCGTCCCTGCGCCAAACTCTGGCGCCAGCCCGCCCCGTACACTGTTACGCCGCCGGAGCAACGTCCCATAACCGCTTTACGAAATCGGACCCCGCTTCGGGTCGTCCTCTCCCACAACATTATGTCCTCTGCAATTTCCTTTTGCAAGTTCTGATGTACTCTATTTTTCGCGCCCTGGGAGCATTGTCCAACGAAGTTATGGGTGCTCGAAAGGCCCTCTACCTGCTAGCCAAAAAGCGGGCTGGAAGCGGGGACGTACTTGTCGCTGGCAGCCCGGCAGTCAAGTCGAAGAAACCCCGGAGAGGAAAGGCTGGCAGGTCTGTCCAACAGCATATGTCGACGGACACACACCATTGTTTTATCCTCGCTTTTTGCGACTCCTTTACCAACCTTAAGTGCGCCTCTCTCCCAAAAGCTTCGCCCCTCCCTCCCCCTACCAACTACGCTGCCGGCTCCAAATGTCGACACACCGCTCCCAACACACACACGCCTGACAGTCGGGGGGTCCTTCGCCGCCTGTCTCCCTCTCTCGCCTACTACGCTTCGGAGCTGCCGCAAACACTCACGTGTGGACGGATCTGTCCACACCGCCATAATACGCCCACTCTCGAAAGTAGTCGCAACTGGATCTTCAGGACCGTCATCAGGCCCTGATATGTACCCCTCCTGCCAATCACGACGCATCACATAGGTTTTACCACATGTCGCATCATCATGATGCGTTTGTAAAACTCTTGGTCGCCTATAGGCCAAACCCTCGTATAGTTACAAGTTACAAGTGCCGCACAGAGTCCGTCAAAATGCCGTGAGGCCATGGGCTATATATATTGGAAGTTGATTCCACCGTACAACCGACGGCGGTTTGGGTCCTGCCAACTAGACCCCTCCTCCTCCCGTCACCCGACATCCGTAGAGACAGATCAGCCATCACCACCAATCAACGTGCGAAATCCATCAACTAGACCTCATCTCCGCACCATAGCAGCGATTTGTAAACCTAACTCTCCCGATCATGGTCGGGGGTCTGACCAGGAATAATAATGCATAGGGGGGCCGCGGCCTATATGCGATCAGAAAATTTACAGACGCCTTGGGGGCTATATCCCTCAACAAGACGCTAATCCGAATTTTAACCCCACCGTTGCCAAACCATCAACACCGTCAACCCCCCTCCCCAACCAGAACCGTCCGCAACGCTGTCAACCCCGGCAGCGTTTTCTACCGCCGGCGGCCCCGCTGCCCGACCGGACGACCGCCTAAAGAAAACCAAGTAAATTTGATGTATTTGTTGCTTCTTGCTTCTTGTTATCCCCCTCTCCTCCCCCCAACCCCGCCCCGCCGCCTGGGTTCCCCGGCCGGGCTCATCCGCCAGTCCCGGCTCTGTGCCGTCGCTCGTTCATTGGCTCGCTCGGCTGCCGGCCGGCTGTGCCAACCCCAATGCCACCACCGCCGTGGAAGCCCCCTGCAGACTGTACACACCCACCAGACAGCCCGCCCGCTCGAACACCTGCGAGGCACAGAGACGCCGATTTTCGCGGCATTATGGGGGCGAGAGAGATGGGCTCTGCGCTGCGTAATGGGACAATGAGAGACGCGCGAAGAGGGCTTAAAGATGGGCCTGATGGGTCGTCGAGGCGAGAGCTGTTTCTTCCCCCCTCCCCCTCGCCTATGTGTGTTGTGTGATGTACCTGGGGCTTATGGCTCACGACGATGTACTGTGCAGCAGCAGCAGCAGCAGCAGCAGCGGCGGGTACGGCAGGTACGGCGGGCAAAGCTGCTGAAGCTAGCTCCCGTGTTGCCTGCTGCTGCTGCTGCTGCTCAGTAGCGCCGGAGGCGGCGAACGACTCTGTCGAGGCACTGGCAGCGGATGACGCGTGGCACAGGTAATCGGCCACGCGCGCGGCGGCGGCTGTGTCCAACGCGCAGTCGATCTCGTCGAAGAAGTAGAACGGCGACGGCGCCACAGCCTGGAACGGGTGCGGAATAACATGGAATAACCGGCGCGGCGGTGTGAGGACCAGAGAGCAGAGAGCAGTGATCACTGAAACGCGGTATTGCTAACGCGGCGTGGGGGTAACGCGGCGAGGGCGGTGGGCCGGGTGGAGTCAGGTTCAGCTTTTGTATATACATGTCGCTTAAGCTGCTCGCTAGACTCCGCTCGGCTGCTCGCTAACCTTCTGAAGAGGTGAACGTACCATTTTACAAATAACTTCAATTGTGAGGAGGTAAAAATATTGAAATTGTGTTTTTAGACTAAGCTAAATGGTCTGAGACGGCGACATGGCGGTGAGGGCGGGCTATAACCCTTACCGCTTGAACCCCCTCTACATACCAACATCTCCTCCTCCATCCCATCCCCAACACAAAACACACACATACATTCACACATTCACACATACATACACACGAACTCTCTCTTCCCCTCTCCCTCTCTTTCACCGGCCTGCAGCGCCAGACTCAGTGCCAGGGAGGCAAGGGCCTGCTGGCCGCCGCTGAGCGCGGGGAACGGCCGCCACTTGTGCTCGTCGGGCCTGAGGGCGGCGGGGGGCCCGGGGGGAGGGGGAAAGACGAACCACGAACGAGTGAAGCTGCTGCCAGGGCAAGAGTGTACCAGACGTAGAACTGACCAAAAGGCGTTCTTGAAGGCGGCGACCTCGGGGGGAAGGGGGAAGGGGGGGAAGACGAACCGCGAGCGAGTGAAGCTGATGCCAAGGAAAGACTGAGCTGCGGCGGAAGAAAAGCAGGCGTAACTAACCAGTCGGCGAGGGCGGGGTTGGGGTCCCAAACCGGGGGCAAGGCCGAGAGGCAGGCAGCTGCGACGCGAGCAAGCCAGCAGCTAAACAAGCTGGTGGTCTCGGCAGCTCCAGGAATGGTAAGGAGTCGGGGAAGGTAGGGGTGGAAATGGAGCCCCGCTGCTACTGCTACTGCTGCTGCTACTGCTACTGCTACTGCTGCTGCTGCTACTGCTATTGCTACTCCCCAACCCCCGTAGGAGCTTGGCCGAAAAGTAGCTGGCCGGCGTAATTCAGTCGGTTCTTCAGGATATCCAGGGTTTGTGTGTCGGGTCTCCACCCACCCCCACCCCCCAAATAGGCAGCCCCCCCCCACACACACACGGCATGTAGTAACCCCACACACAGATCATACTGACATACCGACATACTGACATGCTGAATAGTGTTCGGGCCAAAATTTGACATCGGCGCTGTTCGGTCATCCTGATGCTGACCACGACGGCCACACACGCCCTCGGGACTGAGGCACCTGAGCCGGGGACCCCCGGGGAGGGGGGGAGGGGTGAGAGGAGTTAGCTCCGCCTGGTGGGTACTCACCGGACTTCCAAGGTGACACCATGAGTAAACAGCAGCGTGCGATCCGGCGTGTACGACAGTACGGCATCTCCAGCACCGGCGGTTAGGAAGTCGTACACTCGGCCAAGATGTCGGTTTACTTCCGTCAGCGCCGCCGCCAGGCGGTTGTAACGCTGCGCCTGAAGAGCCTCCCTTTTGGCGGCCGCCGCCTCAAGTTGCTCGTCCAGCTTTGCCGCGATTCGGCGGCACTCGTCCAAAGCCCTCAGCAGTGACACGTCCTCCTGTCGTACATTACCCATGATTTGAGTCAACTCACACGGCCGTTCAGTCCCGGAGACTAAAGGGACGGGTAAAAGAGTGGGGAGAAAGAAAGCGGCGTAAGGACCTTGTAGGAATAAAAGTTATGACGTCTTAAAAAGGAAATCACGTACCATCATGTAACGCTAAGAACTGCATTCATTGGTAAATAATCCATTGCTTCCATATACCTGTACGGCAGTTGGGAAGCTGGAAGCTGTACGGTACCTGCAGCGCCGCCGCATCAATCTGGCCCCTTTCCGCCTCCAGCCGCCGCTCCTCCGCCGCCACAGCCTCCGCCTCCGCCGCAAGATGCTCGTCCAGAAGAGCGCCGCCAGCTTCCCCGCCGTTGTCGCCGCTGTCCGTGCCATCACCGCCGCTGCCGCTGCAGCCGCCACCGCCTTCCTTTACGTTACGACCTGCTAAACGGCCGGCCCCGTGGCGGCGGAGGCGACTGCGCCGTCCCGCCGCCGCTGCCCCCGCCGTCATCGCACCGCCGTACCGACCACCCCGCCGACCAGGTGGGCGCGAAGGAGACACGAAATCATCGCCGCCATCGGTGTCTGCATCCGAATCGACGGCACTTTCCTCCTCCTCCTCCTCCTCCTCATCATCATCATCATCATCATCATGTACGACGACACCGACTGGCTTTCGAGTGGCCTCGCGGCCTTTCGCCGCACACGTTCCTCTTTCCCCTCCGCCACTGCGTTTGCCTTTCCAGCCCCTC